TGGGAAAGGAAATGTGACACTCTAAGTGTTTTGATATGCATTGCCAAATTGTTTTCTAGAAAGGTGGCATATTTGTAACAATAGTTTGTGATCGATCACTTACCCGTTCCCTTGCCAATGTTAAATATTATCATAGTTTTAAATTTTTGCAAACTTGATAGGCAAAATTTTATAAATTTCATATCTTTCATTAATGAAGTGGGGTTTGTTACCCTTTGTGTTTCTATTATTGTGAATCGCCTGTTTATGAACTTTGGCCATTTTTTGACCTTTTCTTTTTTATTTTTAAGAGCCATTTATGCTTTAAAAAACTCTTCTTATGGCTTTTAAAAATTCAGTTCTTTAATCCATCTGGTGTTTATTTTATGTAAGGGAATAAAATGTAAGAAGGGCCTTATTTTAGGTTTATCAGTGAATTTGTGTGATTTTCCTCATGTAAGTCCTGTATATTCCCTGTTAAATTTGTTCCTAGGTATCTTGAATTTCTTTAATAATGTCAATGAGATTTTTTCTAATATGTTATTAAATGGGTTATTGTTGGTATATAGGAAATTATTATTGGTATATGGATATTATTCCACAATGTTAGGGGTTTCTCATCTTGTCCCTGACTTTAATGGAACAAATGTTAGTATAATACTTTGCTATTAAGTATAATTTTAAATATTTATATAGCTATATTTTTTCAGGTTAGTTTATTAAAAATTCATAAGTGTATATGGATACAGACATTGATTAGATATAGATATCACTGTACTCAAAAACCTGAGGAAATCTCTGTGGTTTGAAATGGAGAGGAATGAGTCCACTATGGTGGTGGCAGAAGCTACATTCATCTTTTAATCTGTGAATGTGGCAGATTACATTACAGTTTTTGTTGAGCCATCCTCATATTCTTAGGATATACTTTTCCAATGCCCTACTGGATTTTATTTGCTTCGTTTTATTTAGATTATTGAATCTATGTTTGATACAATATGATTATATTTTCCTATATTATCTGTGCTTGGTTTGGGTATCAAAATTATACTAACCTCAGAAAAATTAGGTACTTGGCTTTATCTCTCTTTCTAGTCTAAAATAGTTTGTAAAATATAGGGCTATCATTTGTTCTTTGGATGTCTGGCAAAAGTTGCTTGTGAACTTTTAGTGATTTATTTATTTATTATTTATATTTTGCAGATGGAAATGATTAGGTTGGTAGAAAAGCTATCTGGAAATTAATTGTATAAATATCAACTTTCGTAGATTGTCAAAACCTAATGTTAAGTGAAAAAAGCAAGTTACCAAATAATTTGTACAATAAATATCATTTGTTTAAATTTTAAAACACAAAGTCTATTTTTTTCTTTAGTTTTTTTGTCCTCAGAAGACAGAAACACACAAAGTTTATTTTTCATGTGTATATATGTGTGTATGTATGTATGTAAAAGTACTTTTAATGGAATGAAAAGGATGCAAACCATTAAAATTATAGTGATTATCTCAAAGAAGGGGACACAGAATAGAACTAGAGATCATTGTGAAAGATGATCTAAACTTTTATTTTATTATA